AGGAAATTTTTTGCCGTAATGCACAAGGCTGAACATAACATGTCCTGGTCAGAGAACCAAACCGTGAGGGAAGGAGGACACGAGTCACTTGGCTACTGGTCCTGCGAGGTACCATGTTGCCTGCTGGCCAGGCCAAATGGTCAGAGGATTGGCTTACACTTTTGATAACTGTATTTCTGATCTTTGAAAAGATTAACATCTTTGAGGGGAAAAAAAGGTTGTAGTCTTTCAAGAGACACAAATTAAATTTATGCAAAATTAAAATCCTCTGAAGCAGACTTGGAAAACTTCACACCATTTATTTTAGGGCATCCTTTCTGATTTGTGAGAATGACTATTTCTCCCAGTGTGTCCCAGTACGCTTCCAGTGCATTGCTGTGCTTCAAGGCACTGTGGGGGAGGAAAAAAGAGCAGTCAGTATTTCTGACATGAACTCTGCAAACCTATGTCCCGGAGTATTTGCAAAACCATATCTCTGAGCTGTTGGTGTGCTCATTCTCTCTTTTTTTTTTAATGTTTTGAAATGATGGCTTTAAAAGAAAATTAGACAGAGACAGGGGGGTACGTTTTGCTCAACCTCGGCTTTAATTAAAATGAGCATTCTGAGGGGTTTTTTTAACCTCCTGGATGCAAGACAGTTGTTATTACTTTAGAAAGCAATTATGCTCTGATGCGTTTTTGCAATGAAACACCCACAGCTGCTTAAACATGACCATGAGCCAGGCACATCCCTGGGTACTTGGCTGGATTGGAGTCCAGACACTGTAAGAAAAGTGAAAAAGGCCTGTTTGATAAAACACAATGCAAAACCAGGGTAGGCTGACTAACTAAGATACCTCACCAAAGTCAAAGTCATACAGTTTCTAAAGAGAGGTTCTGGTAAAATTTATTCGAGTAAGAGGAAAAAAAATAGCCTAGAAACATCATCGGCAGAGCAGCATTTTCGCAGGCATCTCCTGTGCCTTCATCCCACATAGCTTTTACACTCAGAGATGCTCTCTCTCCCCGCATGGTGCCCCCCACAGCCTGCTCCTGCCACCCCCTGGGATCAGCCGCGCTGCCTCTGGGACCCCGCACCTTCTGTGACCCCAGCACTGGTGACTGCCCCTGCAAGCCCGGTGTGGCCGGGCCCCACTGCGACCACTGCCTCCCTGGTTACTGGGGCTTCGGTGCCTATGGCTGGGGGGCCCACGACTGTGCCCGCAGCTGCGACCCCCACACTGGCGACTGCCTCAGCAGCAGGTGAGTTTTGAGGTATCAGCCACCTCCTCCCAGCCTCACCATTCTCTCAAGATCTCTGTTCCAGGTAAGGTACTGCGCTGACCTTATTTATCACAGAATGACAGAATATTAGGAGTTGGAAGGGACCTCAAAAGATCATCCAGTCCAACCCCCCTGCCAGAGCAGGATCACCTAGACCAGGTCACACAGGAACGCGTGCAGGCAGGTTTTGAATGTCTCCGGAGAAGGAGACTCCACAATCTCTCTGGGCAGCCTGTGCCAGTGCTCTGTAACCCTTACAGTAAAAAAGTTTTTCCTCATGTTCAGATTGAACCTCCTATGCTCCAGCTTGCTCCCATTTCCTTGTCCTATCATTTGATATCACAGAGAAGAGCCTGGCTCCTTCCTCCTGACACTCGCCCTTTACAAATTTATAAACATTAATGAGGTCACTCCTCAGTCTCCTCTTCTCCAAGCTAAAGAGACCCAGCTCCCTCAGCCGCTCCTCATAAGGGAAATGCTCCACTCCCTCGATCATCTTTGTGGCTCTGCGCTGGACTCTTTCAAGCAATTCCCTGTCCTTCTTGAACTGAGGGGCCCAGAACTGAACACAATATTCCAAATGCGGTCTCACCAGGGCAGAGTAGAGGGGAAGGAGAACCCCTCTGGACCTACTCACCGCACCCCTTCTAATACATCCTAGGATGCCATTTAATGTATCAGGTGTTTTCCATCACCTTCACTGATGCTTCCTCCCCATGAGCAAACTGTGAGCCTCGGGGAGATCTGAGTGAGAGGAGATCTTTGTGTTTAACACCACAAAGACATGCAGTCACCTTGCACTGGGAGGATGGGTCGGTGGTGGCCAAAGAGGAAGGCTGACCATTTCCCTTTCCCCACAACAGCTCGGACGTGACCTGGCACCACGAAGTGCCTTCTTTCCACACAGCGCTCAACGAGACCGAGCCTGCCTGGGACTGGGAGGACGAGCAGGGCTTCTCAGCACTGCGGCATTCCGGTAGGACAGTGGTTTCACACGTGTTTCCCTGCCTCATCTCTCCCCTCAGCAATCAGCACGGATGCAGTCTTCTGCATTGGCTTGTCATTAGTCCTCTGGCAGTTGCAAGAGGGGATGGATGTTCCCCCATTAAAATCCTGTGTGACCACCTCCTTCCCCTCCATGAGCTGGAGGAGCTTTATGGCTCATCCCATCAATGTGAGGACGTGCAGACTCTGCAGGGAGATGCTCCACACTAAAAGCCTGCACCCAGCATTTAGCTGGTGATAAGGCAAGAGATGCCTGCCTGAATTTGCAGTTCCAGCTCTGAATTTCAAGGCTGAATGCTCTCATGTTTTAAACTTGCCTACTACATGTTGGACAAACCAGCAACATTATTTAGAGGGTGGGGTTTGCCAATTCACTGGCAGGTAATTAGTAAATTCCTAACTCAGAATTTATTTCCCCAACACTCACAACAATTTTGGCATCAATTGCAGCTTACAATGCAATTTGAGATCGCCTAGCGTTTCAGCTACACCTTCAGATGGGGAAGTTATTTTCCTCCTGTCCTCCCAGTCTGGAGGAGGTGGGTGCTGCATGAGGCAGGTTGGCCCCATGGTGCAGCAACAAGCCCCACTCCCCTTGTAATGGCTGCATGCAAGCAGGCAAGTGTCGTTTCCTGCATTTTCAGAAAGCAGCACGATAAAATCTCGAAGATACAATAATTGAGTTAATTGAGGGGAAAGCTCCCATCATTTATCTGGCCAACTTCATTTTAAATGTAAATAAGTATATCGTGTTATTCTTTGTTCTAAGATCACGGAAATCATTAATCTGCCTTAACCTCTGCAACATTTCCTTTAAAAATTTTGTCTGGTACATTACGGTGTGGAAAATACCACAGGATAAAGACATGAGTGTTATTTGCATCTCAAGGCAAAATAATAAGGCCTTTGTTTCCCTTTTCTTCAAATTGTAAACAAAGAATAATTGCCCTTGGACTAAGATTGTATATTCAGCCTGGAACTGAAAACAGGGCTTTTTTTGCACAGGGCTTGGGGACCACATGAAAACCTCTGGCAGGTCCTGGTCTCTGCCTGTGAAGGCTTCTGTCTTTTAAGTACAATCTACAGCTGTCTGCTTCCTTCTCTTTCCCAGGTAAATGCGAATGTAAAGAGCAAGTATTAGGGAATCCCAAGGTCTTCTGCGGGATGAAGTACACCTATGGTGAGTTGCGGGCAAGGTGGCAAGGACATAAAGGAAGGTGCTGCGGGGCAGTGCAAGAGTGTAAAGTGTGAGAGGTGCTGCTGTGTGCACCACTCCATCCAGCAATCCCGTGGGCTCCTTAGTCTAAGGGCAGGTCTTTGACCTTTCCAAAACCTGTAGGTATCCTGGTGCCAAGTCAGAGTGGGTGAAGCGTCTTGCTCTGTTACCCACTTCTCTCACTACCAAAATACCCTTGTGCCAAAGTCATGGGAGGTCAAGAGATGGAAGTGTCCCTGAGAGGTTGTCTAGGTGCAAGAAAGACTGTAAAGTACTGTTACCAAAAATGGGTCACTGAAACTCTGTCTGTAAACCAGGTGCCCCAAGCACAGTTTAGAAATCACTAAATCTGAATTACACTGAACATAAGGAGCGACAGTGATCACCACGCAAGACGCTACATGGAGAAAACAGCTCCAGCAGCCACTGGGAGCTTCAGCAAAGCTTAGCTGTTGCAATGGGGTGATGTATATTGTCTGTGTGTCTATTGGATTTAAATGAATGAGAGGAGGCACTTTGTTTCCCAAGACCTCTCCAGTGTGTGCCAGTGAACCACCCCCTTCATACTGCAGCAGAGCAAGGAACGCTCTGTGTAGCACTCCCTTCCTTTACAGTCTTCCAGGGGTCTCTTGCACCTGTTTTGTCTTGCTCTGAAGTTGAAAATGCACAGAGAGATAACCCCTGCCTCTGCAGGCTGCGGAGCAACTCACAAAGGGAAGTTCAAGGGGCCGTCAGCTGTTGAAATATAGCCCTGGCTTAGTGATATTAGGAAAAAATCTGATTCTGCTTTGCTTTGCTCCCTGGCTGCAATAGTGACTGTGTTTCATCTTGCAAAAGATAACAAAAAATGTTTAAAAAGTCACAAAAAACACAAGTTCATAAATCTTATCTAAAGTGCACTCAGGCTTCCTACCCTTTCATCACTCAACATGCAAAGGTGTCAGCTGAACTGGGGAGACAGATGAATTATGGGGCTCATCATGAGCTTTAGGAAGCCATAGTGTAGGAGGAAAGGCTTCCCTGAGCTTCCTAACATGCAGCAATGAATAAAGCACCCCCATATGGTGACACATGTAGGCCTCAGCATAGCTGAAAGAAAGCTCACACATGGGACCTGAGCCCTGAACCTCCACCACACAGGGGCTCAGCAAGTGGGATACCAGACAAGCGGGGGTGTGCCTGTGCGTGGCTGTGAGCTCAAAATACTTCACGATTTGCCTCAGTCCCCCCCAGCATCTCAGTCTTCACTACTGCATTTGGATTTGGCTGTTCTGTGAAGCAAGAGGACCAACCGGCAGTGGGAATGCTCACCAAGGTGGGATGAGGGCAGCCCCTCATGCCCCTCCCTGGGCTAAGGCCAGCAAAGCCTCCAGGTCCATCCCTAAAAACAAGGCTTTCCACTTGATTTTCAAAAGCACTAAGAAAGCCAAAGCCTTTGCTGAGCTCTAGGGGAAAGTGGGGCCCTCATGAGTTTTGAAAATCAGGTCATTGGACCTCTCACACTGCCTGCATGACAGGTCCAGGGGCCATGGCCAAACCAACTGGCAGTATTCCTGCCCATGAGTATGGGGACATATGCACTCCCTTGGCATCTGTGCTGACCAGGGGCTCCTCAGCAAGGCCCATTGGCCTAACTCCATTGCAATGAAGTAATTGTCCTCATTGCTTCACCCAGACACCTGCGTTAGACCAAAAATTTTTAAAAAAGAGAGCACTTAGAGTTTATATCTTCCTGGTTTTGAACTTGTGTCTTCCCAGTGATCAAGACGAAGATCTTGTCAGCTCATGACAAAGGCTCCCATGCAGAAGTCAATGTGAAGATCAAGAAAGTACTGAAATCTACAAAGCTAAAGATCCTCCGGGGCAAGAGGACACTCTACCCTGAGTCCTGGACTAACAGAGGCTGCACTTGTCCCATCCTTAATCCTGGTAAGTGTGACTCCCTGAGCAGTACATCCCCACCACGTTTACACAGATTTCATTTGCACCCCTCCGTCCTCTCATGCCAGTGAGCTGAGATTGCAGCCCAGTGTTGATTAAAAATTATTTGCTGCTACATCATTTGGATTCTAACAGCAATTTCCATCAAATTTGAATTTTGTAGAGAAAAACTTTGTTCATTCTATATACTGTCAAGCATATGATTTTCTTTATAAAGCATAATAAGTGTCTTACAACTTTAGTAGTCTCAGTCTGTTCCCAGAAGGAGGGAAGTCATTATCATGCCACAGCTACATGACATCTTTTCCAAAATAATGCTAATTCAAACACATTTAAATCTAATCTGAGTCGTGATAATTTACTGAAGTTTTAACCTAAACTCAAGGGAATATGTCTTTGAAAGCAACACTAATTTGCATCTACAAGATCTGGAAGAAATTCTCTTTGGCTTCACATTTTTTTCTCTTCCTTCACTGAAATGGAGTATAACCAGCGGTTAAGCAGTGTGTGCTGCCTCTGGTACGGACAAGGAGATGCAGGCTCAGGGTTTTCTTCAGTAGAGCAAAACTTAAGCTCCAGCTGACACACCTTTCTTTACAGCTCCGAGATAAACCAGCAGTTACCAACTAATTCCGATAAAGGGTTTTCTTTCTGTGTGACACACACATTACATGGAAATCACTGATCGAAACATCAACTCAGTGCTGAGACGTCCCTTAGGTGTACAGCACTGGGGGGTTCCCTTGGGGAAAAGGGCTGTCTGGAAGGCTGGATCACACAGAAAGGTTATTCATTGATTAAGTGTTTGCAGTTGTCTTTCATCTCCACCAGAGTGACTGTCTGTGGCTTTGAAGGCCACTTTGAAGGTCTTGTCAGGTGCAAGGATTGGATGAATGAGTAGCAAGACTTTACTGTTTAAGCACAGTAAGACCTGTATCTATTTAATTACAGATTTATGGTGTTTTATTTTACCATATGCAATGCAAACAGAAGCAAGAAAACCTTACTATAAACCAGCATTAATCATAGAATTGGTGAAGATCGCTTGGTTATCAGGGGAAGGCTGGAGGTGGAATTGTCTTTACGGACAACCACGCATCTGACACATTAGGAGTTACTCCCTTGCTAGCTCTCATGAGTTGCATTGCAAAGCTTGGTGCTTTCTTGAAATGCAGCTGCTGGAGTCCCATGGGTATTAATTAATCTCGGCTTGCATGTTGGAAAAAAGTTGTGAAGATCATTCCTAACAGGAAATTTGAAAATATAAACTGAGTGCATCTTTAGGATTCAATCATTTCAAACTGGCAAAAAAAGGAATCCCAAATATTTTTTAAAGTTTCATTATTTTCTTTAGCTACCACAGTAATTTCTAGATGGTCAGGGATGCTATATTAGCAGATTTAACCTTCTCACAGAGCAAGAGCCTATGACATCCAGCTGAATAAATCAACAACAGCCAGACAAAAAGCCAAGATGACAGAATAAAATTTCCTGACATAGAGCTATAGTGAAAACTCCATGCATTTATCAAATCTCCATGGGCTGTTTTCAGATTACAAATGTGCTTAAGTTCCTATGAGGGGATATTCAGTACCTTTGCACACTTTTTCCTCTGCAGGCACTCCCAGAGGCAGTTTGGACTCCTGGGATGACACTGAGCTGAAGTTTTTAAAGGTCTCAGCTGTCTGCCAGGGAAAAGGAGCCCCTTCCCCTCCTCGGCTCTGCCAGGCACAGACACAAATCAGCACAGAGCTGCTTGCCAGTGACGCAGGGCAAAACTCACAGCCTCAAGTCTTGGCTTGCGGCTTGTCAGTAGTTTGATTCCTTTTCTTTTTACACTTCTGTAATGTCTGGTTGAAAATCTAGAAAGCCCTACTGAATCAGCAACCACAGTGATATTTGCTTGCTCTCTGAGGGTGCACATCACATTTCTCTTTCAAGGAAGATAGATTTAGGAGCCCTTGAAGACTGGTATTTATAAAAGCAGACTTGACATGGCCAAAACAAGTGCCTTGCAAAGGGTGATACTGCCATGCACACATCCTGTGTTTACTTGGCAGAAGAGAGAATGTGTGTGCCCAAAAATTCAGATGGAGTAGATAACAAATTGTATTGAATTAAAAAAAAACATGCTTGACCTTTAACTAGGGGACACTCTCCTTTTATTCTGAAACGCAAAATAAAAACCCAGGAAAACACAAGCAGACTCCCTGCTGTGGCCAGGATGGAGCAGGGCAACTGAGAGCACTGGCAGAGACCCATCTCCCGCAGGCTGGTGTGGTGCTCCCCAGACCTCTGTGAGGAGGAGGGGGTACAGGGAGAGGTCTCATGCTTGCTGTACCCCAGGTGTGCTGCAGTGGGATGCTGACCCTGGCAGGGAGCTCCTCCTGCCATGGGAGTAATTATCCTATTTGTTATCCCCATTTATGGCACGTTTGTGACCTATTTAGGCTGTTTGGATCTGTGGCAGTGTTTCTTTAGCTAATTCAAACGGAAGACTTTGCTCCATCCTCTAGCTTAGCAGTTACTGCCTGGATCCAAGCGCTTTTTGAGTCATGCCTGAAACCCAGGCGCAGACCTGGATGCCTGGGGTGAGCTCCGTGGCAGGGCACTGCGGGGCCACACTCCAGATCTTTCTGGCAGCATCTGGACACCAGGCGAGGCTTTCCCAGGTGCTGCTCTCGTGTCTCTAGAACATCTGCTGGAGGCAGAAATTAATGCATTTCTTTTCAGTGTGATTGCCAGCCCCTCAGGCACTTCTAGGGTGCTCACACCAGCAAACTTAGTGTTGCCTTTCATCAGGGTCCACCATGTCTTTGCCTGCAAGGGGGCACTGGCCTTTTTGAGCAGCACACCAGTGCTGGGCTGTCCTGCACTGGAATCTACTGAATTGACCCATTTCTAGGCCCAGGTATATTCAGGAAGGGGTGAGGAAAGTGGCTGCCAAATGAAGGTAATAGAAGTTCACAAACAAGGTATAAAAACTTGTAGCATAGCCCCCAGACCTCAGCTTCTGTTTATATTTAGAAGCCAACAAAGTCAAAGTTTCCATGCTGCATGTCGTTGATAGATGTGCCACAGAGGTCGTTTTTCCATAGGTACAGATAGAGATGGAGATACACAGATATATAAAAGAATCACTGTGTTTAAATATTTCTTTATATAAGTGCTTTTATATGTGGGACTAAATATCCAGGCTGACTTTGCAGCATCAATAGGCCTCTTAAGTGTAGCACTGCAGTCTCTCATTGCTTTGCTGATTTGCAGGCTTGGAGTACCTCGTGGCAGGACACGAGGACGTGCGAACAGGCAGACTCATCGTCAACATGAAAAGTTTTGTCCACCAGTGGAAGTCGGCTCTCGGAAGAAGGGTCCTGGAGATTTTGAAAAGAGACTGCAACTAGTGGTGCACAACCACCTAAGGGCATTTCTTTATGCACAAAATGCAACAGCCTTCACAGAGAGAAGACCTCTAGGATGAAAACTGGAATGTAAGAAAATAGTGCCAAAACATGTAGCGAGGCATTCAGAGCTGTAGGGGCTGTCTAATCTCACCCTTCCTGGCCAATGTTCTTTTACTCTCCTGTAGCTTCCTTGCCAGGGGCTCACCTGAGCCCAATTCATCGTTCTGTTGAGGGAAACAAAAGGAAGGGCAGATGTTTGTCTCGCTCCAGCACCATGTTGGAGCAATGCCTATGAAGCCACTGATCGCCCTAGACTAAATTGCCACCCTAGAGAGGGAAAGTGTGCCCACGAGCTGCAGCTGAGAAGCAAAACACCACTGCCAGTGCCACCAGTGTGGATCCTGGGTGACTTCCAGAGGCACTCAGAGGTTGCTGTACAGAAAGCGATGGCAGCAGTGTGGCAACGATGACTGCTCTTTAGAAACACCCCCTCAGGTTAGGGCACAGCACCCATCAGAGAGAATCGGGCACCGTGTGCTTTTTAACCTGGTCACCCTGCTGAAGGTTTTGGGGGATAAATTCTCTGCTGGTGCTGGCGAGGATGGAGCTGCCAGAGTGAATCGAATCTCTCTGCCTTGGCACGAGCAGAGGGCAGAGAAGAGCAGACTCCAGAGGGTGCAGCATCTCTGAGCTTTTGTCCTTGAAGTATTAAAAAATGAACCTAGCGCTAGTGTAAATATTTCATTGTATAAAGCACTTTACTACCTGCAACTTCGCAGTGCGGGAAGTCTAACTGTGTTGGAGAAAGAAGAGGTTGAAGGTGGCACATGAACAAAAACTCCCTGAAACAGAAGCACTCCTGAAGGACCCCCCAGTTGGATGGCGTTAATGGTATAAAGGGAACGGCCAGCCTGACACTGGCCCCTCAGGATATCTGAGGATGCAATCTGAAAGATAAAGTATTTGCACTGAAGTCCCAGCTTCAGACCAGCACTTGGACCTCGTGGGCAGGACTCCAGCAAGACTTCGCCAGCAGCGTGAGAAGAAGAGACTTTGAGAAAAAAAATGCTATTGCCAGAGGAGAAAAACTCTGCCTGCAGGAAAAGGGGTGGATGCGGAGAAGGGAAAGGATTCACATTCACATATCACAACCTAGCGATTCATGGTGAGCCTGGAGTTTATTTTATTTTTATGTTAGTATTTAAAGCTGAACATTTTATTTGTTTTCTTCTGTGTTATTGTTTGCGATATATACAGCCATTATACTTCCTCATTAACACCAGTATGGAATATAGCACAGTTTACTGCAGTTTTCAGCACTAAAATATATCTTTTCTGTAAAGCAACTTTAAACCACATTTCATTGAGTGTATTTTGTTAATGAGTGTGAGGAGAAAGGAAAGGAAGACATACAAGACCACAAAAGTCACGAGTCTACCAATCTGCTTTACATATGTATTTTTCTTTCAAGGTCCTGTGGACTCACAAAAAAAATGATACTATTTTGGTAATTTGTTTTTATATCTTATGTATGTAATAAATATAATATGATTTCAACATCTTCATCTCCTGTCACTGCTTACACCACTGGCAACACGGTCTTTGTGCCTACACTAGAGAGCACAGCGAAGATGGCACTAGGTGGGGAGAAGCTACCATGGAGGATATTTTCCTCTCTGGGGGTGGGTAGCATTCACCACATAGTAAAAAGCCAAGCAGCATGGATGGTTCCCAGAAATCCCATTTCACCTCTATTTTGGGAGCCTTAATCATAGGCTTTTCTCATAAGAAGGCCAATTGTACCTAAATATATTCAAAGCTGGCCAGATCCTTGCATCCACACAAGCCTGATGCCAGAGCTGCAGAGGAGCTACCCATACAAAGCAAGCCAGGGGTGGTGGAAATCAGGCTCACCCCCTACATTTGAAACATTGGAAACTGTAAAGGGGTGTGAGGAAAAAAACAAAAGGCTGTGAGAAATGATCGTTGTGGCAAAAACGATGTCTATAAAAACACCGCAGAGTGAACTCAAGCATCAGAAATGAGCAGCCAGGGAGTCAAGGTGTAACCCGTGGTGTTGGCAGCACCTCCCTGGATGGGTGGTTAATCAGTGACTGCCGGGGCACCACGCTGCAGCAGCACCCATCTCCCCAGTGCCTGGAGAAAAGGGCAGGGAAAGACTCCTCCTCTGGCAACACTTGGAGACTAAGAGCCTCCAGTATCTCCACTTCAACTTAAAACTTTGCAGTTTTACCTGCTTGACATATTTTCAACTTAATTTTATTTTAATGCAATTAAAACTACATTTGCAGTGGCTCATTGGTTAATGTGGCATCATGAAGCTGGAGGGTAAGTGGAGAAGCCCACAGTCCCAGCTTGCTCGAGCACTGCAGGGAACTGGTGGATGCTGCTTATGGCACCTTGTCTGACCAGTCTGTGCACCTATGGTTGTATGAAGGAAAGGAATTAGCTTCCATAGGGCAAATCTCCCCATGAGAGATTTGTGTAAGGGGATTCTGTCTGGAAGGAGAAATGTCCCTTCACTGTGAGCAGGCGAGCAGGCAAGCAGGATATCCCTCTATCCATACAAGATCACCTGACAGTGACAGGATGGCCAGCCAAGCCCTTGTCAGTGAGAAAAGCTTGTTCAGACAGTAAATCTTTGCAACTGAGTGAGTTCGTGGAAGCATCCTGCCCGTTTTATCTGTTTAATCCCACCTGTTACATGTATAAGAACCTTTGTAAGAGGATACCTTTCCCTGTCCACCTAAAGATTAGATTTATTGCTTGACAACTAGAAGAGTACCAATGCCTTGACCAGTCCTGCTGTGTGACAAAAATCAGTGGCAGGAAAATCATAGTCAGAGTTGGCAGCAGCATCCACAAAAGGGTCTTTTCTTCCAGAAATACCCCTTTGGCCTTACAGACAAGAGTTGCTTGTGGAGGCAAAGCTGGCAACTTCACCAGAGGCCAAGCTGCCCCTCTCTAGAGCATGTCTAGAGACTCCTCAGGCGAGAGGAATGCAGAGGCAGGTGCCAGGGTTTTGGAGATCTAAGTGATGGCAATGGCACCAGGAGCTGCAGCACCTCTGCCCAAAACATCCCTATGCTGCCCTCATGCTTCACCTGCCCCTAAAGAGTAAGTACCTCCTTGCCAGTGAAGGAAGCATGGTGGAGTCTTCAACCATCCCTGTTTCCAGTGCAGGAGGTTGGATGTAAGCAGTGGCCAGAGGTCAGTGACAGGGGCTAGGGCTGGTTGCCAGACACTCCATGCTCCTGGTTGTGTGCCAGCATTGCAGGAGTGGCTCTCGGCTGGTGACACACACTAGGGTTGGTGGTTAGTGTGTCTGCAAATGATCCAGCACGGAGAAGGAGAACACCAAGCCCCAGCAAGAAGTTTTCAGTCCCTCCTTCCACCGTGGATCTCTCCGAGCCCAAATCCTGTGCCATCAGGGCTGTCAGGACCAGGCACTAAGCTAAATCTGTACACTGTTGTGCAAGTGAAGTTTTTCTCCACTGTCTCCTGCCACCGGTGCTTTTTGTGGAAGAAAGCAGGATGAGCCATCCAGATCCACCCATTAGTTTTCAATAGCCTGAAGCCAGGTGCTTGGGGGAGGCTGTACTCAGAGGTATCCCACATCCTCCCTTGGGAAGGTCACCTTACACACCCAGTTGCTTGCTGGTAAACATCTGCAGAAGGGGTTTGTGCTCTCTGGCTCTGCAGGACCTGCAGGCTGGGTACCTCTGCCCAGCCCATTACAGCAGGATGCACAAGGTGATGGGGCTGTGGTGTTTAGGTGAAACATTTGCTTTTATTCTGTTAAAGAGCATTTTTTCTCCTCAGACCACCTTAACAGACACCACCTTGCAAGTGCAAGGAGGGATGGGGGAGAAGCTGCCTGCAGCCCTGACCACTTCCTTCCCTGCAGCAGCAGCTGGCCATAGGGTGACTGGGCGGCCCATGGACCCCAGCAGCATGTCCCATCACATCACCTCCCAGGAGCTGCTGCTGATAAGGGCCTTCTCCATCCTCAGCACCTCCCAGACCAAGCCCCAGCAAGCTGCAGAAGTGGTGTCCCCTCCTGCCACCACCAGAGCCAGGAGAGGGCTCAGGGCTGTGCCAGCTGCACGTGCGTGGGGCCTGTCCAGTCAGCCATCACTCGCCCCAGAGGAACGTGAGCTTCCAGTCACAGTGGAAAATTACAGCCGTGTTTAATATAGTTGCTCCAGTGGGCTAAATCTTCTGGGATATGACCATGTTGCTGAAAAAGACCGAACATCTGGTACTACCGGCCTGCCTAAATGGAAAGCTGGGCTGGTACGGGTAAACATAACAACTCAGGAACAAATAGCTGCAGTGTATTTTTTTTAAATCTTTATTTTTAGCTATCATATTGACTTCAGTATCAACACTGGATAGAATAAACATCTCAAAAATGTCCAGTGGCTGCTGCCCTAGCATCCAGAGGAGCCCTCTCTCCGATAAGGCAGGAGGAGATCGGGTGCCTGTGGACCTTCTGAGCTGATGTGTTGATTTTTTGATGACAGTGTTTCTAAAGCATGCCCTTGCCCAGGGGTCACAGTTTCTTGCCGCTCTTTTCCCACAGTTCAGCACAGAAACGTCACAAATGCCTTTTATTGCTTCAAGGGAAGGCAGCGAGGCCTCGGCAAGCCTTACAGGCTGGGAAATATACTATATATGGGAAACTTGATCATGTATTGAAAATGTTAGCATGGCCGAGAGGCCAATGTGCCACAGCAGGCATTGGGAGTGCTGCCCTGTGTGCCCAGCCCAGCTCCAGACCATGCCCATCTCTTAACTTCTCCATCACTCCGATGGCTCCTTTGGAGCAAAAATAATGCTGGGCTGCTCACAGACAGGATGTGCTCATGGGTGTGATGTGCTTACGGGTGTGATGAGCTCAGGGATATGCTCAAGGCCCAATGCATGTAGGCCAGGGAAGAGTCTGTCATGCCCAAGTCCTGTTCCCTGCAATGTGATCCACAGTTCAAGGCATCTCCAAGCTCTACCTGGACACTTTCTCAGCAGTAGAGGATGTGTAGAAGTTTATCAGGCTGCTGGGAGGTCTGAGGGGTATAGGTGCGGGTGTGTGCATGTGCACCCCCACAGGACTGCTCACTGCTTCGTTTCCCAGGTGGTGTTTTCTCTCCTCACATCTCTGAGCTCCTCCTGACCAGGCAGATTGCTCATACTGCCAGCATTTCTTACTTTGGCCTCTTCTCTCAGTCTTATCACAGGACCTGGAAGCAGGGCTGCCAAAAGGCCCTTGGCTCTGTATAAAGATTGCTGAGAAGAATAAAATCGTTCCTAAACCCAACATTAGTGAAGTTTCCCTGAACTGACTTGCTGTGGACGTGGTTATGTACCCCTTCCAGCAGGTGCAAAATACAATCCAGCTCCAGGCTCAGGACACCGGCTGAGGTTCTGAA